AGCGAGGGTTTGGGCGAGGTCGTAATCCATACTCCCAAGTCCTTCTGCGAATCCACTTCTTACAGTGGTATACCGTTTAGGCAGTAGGCCATATGGTTCGGAGAGCGAGCTCTGCCGACTCGTAGAATATTGCACTTTTTCTCGTTGAACGGCAGAAGCCAGGCCTTTGACCACTGTTGGAGTCGGTTTAGGTTCGCCTGCAGATGCTCTTCGTCATCTGCAGTTCGAATGACGCTCCAGAGCTTAATGTCATCCGCAAACATGGCAACACCACAATCCAGTCCACTAACGCAATCGTTGACGTAAATGATGAACAAAGTAAGACCAAGAACTAAGCCTTGGGGAACACCGCTTTCAACGGCAACCTCCGTCGACTTCTGGCCACCGACATGGACAGTTTGACAACGGTCTAATAGGAAGCTTTGAATCCATTTTAAGAGGTTACCCCTAACGCCTGTTCGGCTCAGTTTGTGCAGGAGTCGCTGATGTGGGACACTATCAAATGCCTTTTTAAAGTCGATATAGACGACATGCAGTGCATTGCCTTCATCAACTGACCGAGTCCAACGTTCCAAACAGTTGAGCAAGTTCTGGGTAGGACAGAGTCCTGAGACCGTCCACCAGTTTTGTGGTCCGTCGTTGCGCCTGCTCTATGGCCTTCGTCCAGGGTGTGAGTGGCGACCTGAGACAACGGCTCACCTCTCCGGGCCGCCCGTTTATGCTCCGTCATTCGTGAACTAAGCCGTCGTTCGGTCTGTCCTGTGTAGTGGCGAGGGCAGTCCCGACATGGGATCTCATAAACGACATCCGATTATTCTCCCACGTCTAGACGATCCTTTACTCGCATGATTTTGGTGCACATGGTCGCTGTCGGACGGTGTGCGATGCCCACGCCGAGCTCTTCAGCGATACGTTCCATCGCTTCGGACACGTTCCTTATATATGGTAGAGGGCGCCAGAGTGTTGGCGGTTCTCCTCCCTTTGTACGCTCTGGGTGGTTGCGGAGGCAGCGGCTGATGAAGCTGTGCGAGTATCCTTTCCTTGCCAGTTGGTCCCGAAGATGCCGAAGTTCTCGTACACGTCCCTCTGTCTCATTGCAGTGCGTTTTTACCTTTTGGAAGAGTGTCCTTACACAGCTGCGTTTATGCGCCATTGGCTGGTTACTATGGTAGTTGAGAACCTGAGTCGTGTTAGTCGCCATCCTGTACACCGTGGTGTTGAGTTCGCCGTTGGGTGTGCGGGTGACGTCAAGGAAATGCAGCTGTTCGGCATGCTCTATTTCCCCTGTAAACTGAATGTCCGCGATGATGCAGTTAAGCAAGTCTTGAAAGCCGGCCAGTCTGCTCCGTTCCCGCGGCCAAGAGGCGAGACCCAAGTTTAGGCCAAGGGTGCACGCTGTCACGCCGCCGTGCGACGACGTGGGACTCAGCTTATCGCGAATACCACCCTCTGCACTCATATCCCCCCTTCATGGCTTGACTACAAAAACTGTTCATTTGGTGTCGCATTTTCACAGTCTCTGACGATGGCCTCCTGTACGAGACCGAAAGCTCAGACTAATACATCTGTCTCAGAGATCGTGTGTTCATCTTCTTTACAGCCTGAACCTGGGATTTGCATATTCGTTTCCATCCCCGAATCAGTTTATTGTTTTTTCAGCGCTCCTGTTGCTCACATGTGGTCTCTAGAGCCGTACACATTGCAGGCGAATTGGGTAAAAACTGGGGACACAGTGGCTTACGACACGTCTAAATTGGACTTCAGTGAGGCCGTAAGTACTTTAATCCGTGCGTGTGATGGCCCGCCTTAAAGGCAGGTCTTCATGCCGAGTCCGCCACTGCGACCAATCCCATCGTCCGGTTGCTGACAGACTCGCACAACAGGCTAGCGCATAGCAGAGGGTAGGGAGAACGAAACTGACTTTGAGGAGTCCGCCTCCACGACAGCTCAGCTCATTCCTCACTTGAACCTATCACGGCACATAAGTAATTGTAGTTTGAAAGTTTGCCAACTGACGGGATAACTCTGTCCTCCTTAGGACGAAACATCGTGCTTTAGGTTGGGCATGAGATTAAGTAACATTCTCACCTAAGGTGGCCTTGCGCCAAATTCCGTGTCCTACCTATAACCCTCACTTCGACCGCAAACCTGAACATAAACCAAAGCCGCCCAACCCTCCTAGACTTAAAACCCTATAACCCAGCTCAAGGTCACCTGTAATACGGAGAAAGGGGTGCCCATTCTAGCGCCTTACGCATGTTTCATTGGTTACTATTTCCTTCCCAACGTGGGCTTTGTAGCACTTTCATTGATGTGAGATACGAACACTCCCACAAAGTCCCGGTGTCCGCTTTGTGGACCAGGTCATTTGTGGAACGCTTAGGCAGACTGTTCTAATTTGTGAGTCGCTGAGACAGCGACCACCCGCCATCTGGTTTCGGAACTCATTCATCCTGTTGTGCCTTTGGGATCTCTCTCTCTCTCGTGTCTCCTTCTTCTTGGGGCTCTCTGTCAGCAGCCAAACAGCGGCGCGTAATGTAGGGTGAGTTAGTTCAGCAACGCGATCAGAAAGCACCCCACTACTATTGTATATACCCGACCGCAACCGACAGAACAACGAGCCCGTGACCCAGTGGTAAGGGCGTTGAACTTCTAACCAACACGTCACCGAATCCAGCCCCAGGTGTTGCACACTATGAGGTCGGGTGTGTCTGGCTTACGACGTCTACTAGGCCAGAAATGGCCACTCCAGTCACCCTTGCTATTAAATTCACCATCTTCCCTGACGTTATCCTGACATAGGAGCCTGATGGGTAAGTGGGAGAGAGTGCAGTTGATAACGTTCCGGCCTATCTCACTGCAGACTTACAAACGTGCGAGTCACCGATGTTGCATCCACTGAATGAGGCATGCGATGGAGGCAGTTATTTACGACTGCTGGGATGGCCTGCCGTCGTTTCTGACAATGCTCAAACTTATTTAATTGTTGAAGTGAAGCTTTCATCTTATCCTCAAACTACTGTTATTACTACTTCAACTTAATCGAAACACTTAATGTGTAACTGTTATCAGGTGATCAGCAAGGATTTACAATAGAGCAGTCACTGAGCGTAGTCAATAGGCCCGCTGGGGTGAGGAAGAGTACTCATCATAATGTGTGTAAACGCGCACGGATGACGTCTGACCAGTGCCGTGGCAGAGCGGTCATGATGACGGTTAGGGCGTGCGGTCGCCGCGGTGGTCTCAGGGTACGCCAGTTTTTTGGCTTCTAGTAATAATTCATCTATGTTATTTTTCGCAAAATTCCATTGTTTAGAATTAATATAAGAGGCACCTAGCTGTAGAAACGAAGTTTCAGTCCAATTTATTACTGCGATTTATAACCTTTAGCAAGTTATTTGAAAATGCATTTATAAGTTAGGTTATACAGACTGCATTTTTAGCTATGCCATCACAATAAAAGTGCATTAGAAAAAAGGGAAACACATCTGGGTTAATCATCAGCATAAAAGGGAGAAAAATAAAATGTCATTGCCGCTTTTGCATTCTACTGATTTATTAGCTTTTGTCTATTGTGTGCTGCTGACAAGTTAGAACGAATAAAATAATAAAGGACTCGAATTACTAGGATTAAGTCCATCATTTGAATGGAACTCGTAGGTAACGCACTGGCGTCTAGGAAATCGTCCCTATTTTAGTGAATCCAACGGACTTCCGTCATGCATGAAATTGCCCGCGTTGTCGAACGGTTACCTGGTTGTCAGTATTTTAATGTCTAATATTTGAAATCTTCCCTTATTGAAGACACGATGCGTTATCAGTCTTAAGTAACTCGTGATTTTGCACCGAATTCTGTTCGTCCACAACTGACAGGACTGTCAGCTACTTTTCAGAAGTTCTGGGTCTGTTTCATTCCTACGGACTCCTTCTTTAACATAGTAGTCGCTGAGCACAATGTCCACAAACTCCACTGCGAAAAGACAGTGTGAACAGAGAGGAAAAGATTTCGTCATGCATGAAATTGCCTACGCTGTCGAATGGTTATCTAGTCTTCAGTATTTTGGTGTTTTATATTCGCAATCTTCCCTTATTGAAAACACGATGCATTATCAGTCTCAAGTAACTCGTGATTTTGCATCTAATTCTGTTCATCTACAACTGACGGGACTGTCAGCTACTTTTCAGAAGGCCTGGGTCTGTTTCCTTCCTACGGACTTCTTCTTTAACAAACTAGTCGCTGAGCACAATATCCACAAACTCAACTGCAAAAAGACCAGTGTGAAAGGAGAGGAGATTTCGTACGGTTGACTTGCAACCTTTGCTAGTGGTCTGGCGCAAGAACAGCAGGACAAGTGTGACTGAATTTTGCATGCGTGTTCAATGGTACTTATAATCCTCCTTGTCTACGATACGGGCACATCCAAAGGCCTGAATACAGATTGCCAAATCCTAAGAAACAAACATGCACTTTAGCCGCAGTGGTGACGCTCAGAAAGTTGTCGGAAGTCTGTTCTGACAATGTGATTCCAGTAAAACCAGTCTACTATCCACACAGTTGACCAACGTTAAAGCAATATCCGCATGGAAGTTTTCCCATTCAGTCAGGAGCAAAGGCTAGGGTTAGGGGGCGTACATGGACACGAACTAAACGTCTACGCAGAAAGTCGGGAGTCACATAAGAAGATCAATGCAAAGCTCGCAGGTCCCAAAAACGATGAAAGAAAGCGTTTAGTAGCTTGTAAATAAGCTTAGGAGAGTCAAGTCTAGCAGCGGTGACGTAGGAACCATCCGACCAATAGCGGCGCTCCTCTGCTGTATAAATATAACTGAGAGCACAGGTCTTCACAGCAGTATTCTGTCGTTACTCCCCGGGCGCTTCTGCCGACATTTTCAGGAATTTTCCGCTAAATAATTCCCGTAATAATTTATAAAATTCAGCGCTCCGCGCATACAGATACATACACTGGATATCATTGACGCACTCAAATCACAGGTATAAAATGGAATTAGCCTACTGGGAATGCAGTCAAGCTGCCACATCGACAGACGCCCTCTTCATCATCAGCGTCACCGTGAGTTTTGCAGGTCTGACCCTAAATCTCTGTCTGTTGATACTTTTATGCTTTTTAAGTGGCAGAACAAGGACCTACCTGGTTCATTTGCGGTCTCTGACAGTTGCCATGGTCGTCTGTAGTTTCATCGCTTTCCTCAATCACGTCGTCCCCTACCAATTTATGCCAAAGGATCCTATCTTTGGTCGAATTGTGTGCCACCTCTGGTCCAGTCGTTATCTTTTTGACGCAATTTACATCTTTGGGGCCCTGATTCTGAACTTCATTGTGGGCAGCAGGGCAATTCAGATTACCTACGGATATCAGTACTCCTTCTCTCCTTCTCTGTTCACCGATTTCACTTACGTGGGGATTATAGGCCTAAGTAGCGCCATGAGTATCCTGTGTCAGGCATTTGCGGTGGAATGGAATGGTTTTCATTGTACCTGCCGTGAAACGAACATTCCTTACTGGCTCCTCGTGTCCTCCTACATGGGCACGTTTGTTCGCTTCGGTCTGGCCGTAGTCATCAGCCCCATTATCTTAGGCATCTCCTGCTACAAGATTGTCCAGTGGGTACGACAGACACCAGCAGGGGAACTTTTGGACACCTGGAACGGTCTGGTTCTTCCTGGGACTTCAGCGGAGCAGACGGTGGAACTACTTCGACCGCGTGGTTGGATGACAGCATCCATGTGCACTGTACCCCTATCAATTAACTTTCTAGCCTTTAGTCTCTACAACACGACGTACCAGTTTAGCTGTGCAATAGGGTTGTGCACGTTGGTAATCAATAGTGTGTCGGATAGGGTTGGCACTCTGCTTCTTTACCATCAAATACTCCTCTCCCCAGTCATCATCGCCGTCTACATTCCGGCGTTGCGAGGGCTATGCATGCGAGTCTGGATGAGACTCATCTCCAAGCTAACTGAGGATGTATCAAAAATGACTCAAACTGAGATAAGGGATCAACACATTCCCGAAGCAACGAGTGCTGATAGAGGATGCACTGTGCCATGAAAATGTACCGCCTACCCTAGCGAATGCCCACCTTTATCTGCAGTCATCATATTTGCAAGATTACAGATGCACTTCCTCAGGAAACTGCCTCCCATATGTGCACAACCCGATTGTCTACCCTTGCACTATGACAGTACTCTCCTTCCTTCCACCAACATGCACACTGAAACGACACTAAGTATTCTTATGGAAAAGAATATAAATGGTTGCAACCAAAATGCCCTACAAGTCAATCCAAATTATTCTTGCCGTCTCACGACCGAACGACTATTTCATGGCGGTTTCTTGATAATGATCATCAAATCTCCATCAATTCACGCACCGTTTAGTTGCATTTAGGTAGTTTTGGTTGACACCGGTGATTGTTCGCTAATATGTTCTATGGTGTTTCTCTGCGATTTCTGCGCAACTGTACCGGTCTATAATAATTGACAATTAATGCACCCATGTGGACGCATCTATGTAGATCGGAGCTGTGGGCTGTTACCACGTAAAACTGTCTTTTTTATGAGTGAAGCTACCAAGGTGTGTGCTAGTTAGTTAAAACGGTTGGCTACGGCGTCCGTAAGAATGTTGCGAGTGTATGCAGTATGCACTGGTTGAAGCCTGCGCGTCCCAAAGAGACCCATTCAAATCTCAGTAACCGTTTTGGAAAGCCTTTGCGTCAATTTCTTTTCCGCAGGGAATATACACTTTCAAATGATACTGACGAAGTCTAGAGGCGTTGAGAGACATCAAGACAGGCAAAGACCTCCTCGGACTTTTCCTAAGCCATGCCGGTTGCTTGACTGAGGAGACAAATAATGTGGCTCGAACGGACACAATGGATTTACAAAGTTCCGGAACAACGAACACTGCGTAATGACAACTGTGATGATTTCCCCCTTTAATTATTGTGTTGCCGTGTTTGCTAGATTCTTGATGAGCATCTTGGGGTGTCCGCTCAGCCCGACTACTTACTAACGCACTATAGCAGTAACCTACTCCTAACAACCTGTTCATCGAACCGAGACTGGGTGATCTAAGAGGGAAAAACATAAATGTTTGCAGCTAGCGTTTTCTGAAACGGCATATCCCCTTCTATCGTCCCGTCGCAAGCTGAAGAGAATCCATTTGAGAAGAGAAAGCAGACATTCTCTACTTCACACAGGGTTTGTTTGTGTACTGATGTTTTAATTGAAAACGGGGATTGTTGGCTCATGTGGTTTTTGGTGTTTCGTGGGGATTTCTGCGTATTTTCACTGACTGTGGCAATCAATACTTAGAGCGCTCTTTGCGTGGCGGCCATGTAGATCACAGCTATTGGTTGTTACCACGTAAAAATATCCATTTGTGCTGATGAGGGGAAATCGCAGTGTGTAATTCAGACCATTTATCCAAGAGGAATAACAGAAACCTTTTCTCTTCCCTCAAAATCTGCAGGAAGAACATGTCCGGCTATTCTTAAGATAATGGCGGGTCGGATCTTATTTCGTAGCCGTACTTACAGTAAACAAGTCTCAGCCTAACTCCCAACCCCAAATCCTAACCACGACTCCTAACCCAAAACCTCAATCCCGATCCCTAACTCTAACCCCCTAACAGGCACGGCTAAAAATATGATCTTCCCCGAGGGCGCAGAGTTTTAAAGATAACACTTCTGAACTTGCGTGGCCTCGCAGAATTGTACTATCGAACAGCACGCTTACATCGTTGTCCACGCAATAAAGTTCAACCTTTTCTACTTCCTGCTTTGTTTGGTTGTTTCTTTTCATTCATCTCAAAACTGCAGTTGCCAGTTTAATCATCCGCAAAGTTTCCTGTAGAGGCAAGGGGACTATGACGATCATCTACTTTAGTTTCAACGAAATTCAGCAGTACTGAGTTTAGGAGTTTCCTATCGAGACAACAGGGGCTACTAGCACTCATTATTTCCATGCCATCCGCATGACGAGGTCGGGAGTGTTATGATAATTGTGGCAAGGGGGTGCCGTAGTCGGTGAGTGATGTTTGTTAGTCGGGTGCATGCAGTATACATCACTGGCATCAGGGGGTCGGGCCGGCGTTTTGACATTGTGGGAAACAGAACAAACCTCCGTTGGGGATCGTATTGCAACGTTTAATTTGATAACACATTACTCCCTTCTGCCAGTCCAGTGATCTGGTTGAAGTTGTCAAAGAAATATCTATGTAACTGAAACTTTTAGTCTTCTTTGTATCAATAGTAGTGAAAATTCGATTCCCAGGTGGCATATAAATAGAGGAAGAGGCGTTCACCGGGAGGGATTTATTGGAGGTCCGACGTTTCGAGTAGCTGATTCGTCTACCCATCTTCAGAGACTGGAATGTCCTGCGCACAGCTCCCCTCGTATGGCGCACTTTGTTCAATGCGTGAGCCGTCATTGTCGCCCGTGTGGCTGCATCCCGCATGTCCCGTGACCTGAATCCCACCGTCGGCCGCGGCGCCCGGTTGTCCTGCGCCGTGATTGCCCCCTGTTAAGAAGGTTCGTAAAGTCAGATGGGGGGTGGAGGCAAATTGATGTGGCGGTTGAGAGAGCAGTCGGTAGACATTCAGGTTTCTTGTACTTGCCTTGCTGTATGATCACTACTCCGACCCACAATCTCAACGGCTTCATAGTTGAAGATTTGTCCAATTTGCTCGGCATGGGTTGCTTCCTCCGACGCTGGGTTCAACCTTCGCACGGCCAATTTATGCTCGTGCATTCGCGTTTGTAGCCGTCGGCCGGTTTCCCCAACGTAGTTACACCTTCCGCAACTGCACCGAAGTCGATAGACAACGGCCGACATCTCCTGCTTAGTTATCGGATCTTTTGGCCGCATCATTTACCGGCGGATTGCTGAATCAGGCCTGTGGGCAACACCTATTCCGAGTGGCGCGAGAGATCTAACCACGGCTTCGGAGACCCCTTTACTGTACGAAATGCTTCGTCACGAGTTTGGCTGATTATGCTCTTCATTCCGTTTCTTTGGCTGCCTTCGACTCCGTTCAATGAATGCTCGCGGATAGCCGTTGGTTCTGAAGAGTACCTGGAGGAGCTTTATCTCGTCCAGTTTGGCGGCTGGCGTGCTGCAATGAGTTTCCACCCGTCGGTATAGCCTGCGGAAACAGTTTCGTTTGTGTTTTTGTTCACAGCAGTAGAATTGCTAAGGAGCCCGCGGTCACAGATAATGACCTGCCATCTGTAATACCAGTGATTAATTTGTACGAGCTTTATGTCGATACATTAAGTATTTTTGTTTAAACCTCGGAGCCTTACAGTCACTATCACCTTTTTTGGTGCCAACCTGCTAGCATACAGCAAAGCACGCACTAAAACTAATAGTGCTGAATTTCCAGGGAAAGCCCGTGTCCCGTGAGTAAGTCTGCAATCAGTACCCAACACGACAAAGAGGCGTTTGAAACAAACGTCTTTTTTGCAAGCAGGCCGACTGAAATAACATGTCATCAAGAAGCAAGACAAAGGCCCCCCAGGCGTCATCTGAAGGCATAAATGGTACCATTTTTTTCTCTTTTTCACCGAAAATCGAGCGTTGATGCAAAAGAAAGTTAATACTCTGTAAGACGCAAAACTTCATGGGCGTTGACGAAAGAGTAGACTGAGAAATTACAAGGCAAATTGAAATGCACTCATGGATATGCCGCATGATAAACTACGTCAAACTCCGAAGATTCGGCGCCCAAACATGAAAATACATTATTCTGTCCTGCACACAAGCGTCAAAAATTGTTCATACAGGAAGTCGATTTTTCTCTACTCCACGTTTGAGGAAACTTTCAACCGTAACCAGTGATATTTTCCAAGCTCATTCCCTCCGTGATTAATTTAAGACCGGGTGCACGCACGGAGATTTAATAGCCACAGTTTATCAACTGTTCGTTTCCGGTGTATAACGCAGATAACGAATGAGCAATATGAAGCAAATTAGTAAAGATAAAATATGTGATCGAACGGGGTTATTGTCGTGAACTGTAGGCGTTGTTCGTAGAGTTTTTCGTTGGATCCATTCACGCCCTTCGACGGCTCTCACCCCGACAGGATTAAATCTTTTGAACCACATCGCCCGAGGATGCGCTACCGCGAAACTGTCTATGTGGACTCATTGTCCAGCACCTCCTACATGTGGTTCTATAGTAAAAGGCGTATGATTACTCCGCAGTTGTGGGATTGCGAGAGGCGCCTACCAATGAATATTCTCACCACCAACATTGCCGTCATCCCCAGACACCCGATGGAGAGCATTACGACACGACATACTCCTTTACGTCTGCAATGTGGAATAGAAGGTCTCCAATGCCTCTTAGGCTCGCGATGTTCAGTCTAAATCAAAAGAGGTACTGTACTCCGTCTATATGGACCCATACCGCACTGCCGAACACGGATACTCCTTCGAGTAGTTTCCTTTTAGGGCGTTTCCAGTATGCATCTATGAGGCTACATCCTTATAACTCTTATTACTACAATTCCCGCAAGAAACGTCCCACAGGTTGTCCTTTTCAGATCCCGGTCATATAATTTATCTTTACCAGCAAACCGAATCAGTACAGAAAATGCGAAAACAGTTGGGTCTCATTTAACTACACATAGCCTAATCCATAGAAAGTGGAAACTTGAAAGACCCAAAAAGAAAGAGGATTACGATAACACGTACAGACGTAAGTAAATCAAAGGACTGAGGGTTATCGAGGGCCTTTCATTCGATTGTTTTGTGTCCAAACAAGCACTCAGAGGGTTTTTGGTGGCCCAAAGAGTGATCACTATCAAGATGGCGTTTTGTGTTGGAAAAATGGGAGACATTTTTCGCATTATCAAACTTAGGCAAGTACTCAACTGATCTGAATGCCAGTTGCTTTTTAATTCGTCGAATATACTCTCAAACGTAGTTGCATGAGGATTTATATACGCAATTCGAAATGGTGTGCAGCCACTAGGAACCCTACGTACCTATAATTAAAGGAGTCTCAATAGGATTGCTGTACATAAGATGTGTTGCATTATGTG